TCCTGAAACGAGGAAATTGTGAAAAACAAACAGTTTGTTTGAAATAATTTGAGTGTTAATTAAAGTTAACTGCAGGCCACACATGTTGCATTGAACATATTGCACAAGCGGCTGAGTTTGAACTGTTTTGTCTTCCTGTAAACAAAATATCTGTGGATTTGAGTGAAACTCTCATAGGGACTAATCATTGGCTGAACATCTAGAGTTGTTTAACTTTTGGAGTCGGTCCCATATAGGATGGCTCCCACAGCGAACTGACCTTAGGAAACACAAAACTACAGTATAACTCTGTTAAGTTTACAAATATTGAGCTAAAACTTGGTATGGTSGTAGCTAAAAGTCTATTCCAACACATACTCAGAGGTCTACACATCTCTGCTTAAAACTTTGACATTAACTGATGATGTCAATTTGTTAACAAATTATTTTAAAACAAATTGCTGTACACTCGGAAAGTAACATTTGAATGTACATCTATAATAAGTCATTATTTTTGGAGTCAACCCAATTCAAGATGGCTGCCTGAGATGATCCTGTTTGTCAAGCATTAACACATTATGTGAGAAATTACAATCATATGTGGCATCTAATATTCTTTATTTGCATGGTTTGACTAAAACACACAACTCTGTCCCTTCGAATCYTCAGCTGATCTTATTCAAAGTTTCTGCTGAGAAAGGCAATGTGCATTAAACTCAGTTTTCAGAAATGACTCAGGAAAATAATCTAATATTGAAGTGATAAAAGTTTGTCTTTCTTGTCGTGTTTTTTTTTTTCTTTTAAAAAGTGATGGAAGGAACAGCCTCAACAGCCTCGGTCCCAGCCCCAGCCCCTGGCTCTGGCATCCCCCCATCAGCTCCGAGACCCCCCATCTTCACGCCGTCCCGCAGCCTATTAGAATGGAGAAGGAGGGTAAAGTCTGAGTACATGCGCCTACGCCAGTTAAAGCGCCTTAAAAAAGTCGATGAGGTCAAGGTTGGTCAAGGGTTTTATTGATGGGTTAAAGGTACTCAAAGCAAAGTTATGTAGACTGGTCAAAAATGTCAGACAATATGTCAGACAATAAGTAACAAATCCACTTTTTTTTCCTTATATTGATGCTTAATGTGTCAGTTGATTAGAAATTTGTAAGTAAAATTAGTTTATATGTCCATGGAAAAGCCATTTGGGTGAGAAGTGTGACAGTTTGACTATGTTGATACGTATTTATGCTCAGAATTTGTTGAGTTTTACGCAAATAAAAGTGCATTGTTTACACTGAGTGCATACCCACATTTTCAGAATCGTATATCAATATATCTGTAACACTACTGGATGAAACTTTTTCAAACTGCACCATTTAATCTGGTTCAGGGTAACATCTTTTGTTGCTAGGTTCCACCGTTTGCAATGAGTACCTTTTTAATAATTATACATGCTAGCAAGAAATTTCCCTTGGCGTGTGCTGTGGCTGTTTTTGTGACTCTGCYTTTTTCCTCTGTTTTTAGACCCTGTTCATGTCCAACAGGCAAAAGATTGAGCAGCAGGCAAATCTCCTGAACTCAGAGTGGTCCAAGTTGAGGATTCAGTCCGTCCCTGTTTCCACCTTTAGTGGAGCTCTCGCCAATAAGAAGGTGTGTTTCCTGCAAAAATAAATAAATTAAAAAAAGCAACGTGCAGGATGATTAGAGTGTTAGAAAACTGCTCGGTCGAGCGGAGGAGTTTAACTCCAGCCCCACCTCTGCTTCTCTTTCAGATGTGTTCGGTGGAGTTTGGTTTCCCAGGATTCAAATCTCAAGCTGTTGCCATGAAGCCGCTGTCAACGGTGGCAGGGATTCCCTTCATGTACTCGTGGTCCCCTCTGCAGCACAACTTCATGGTACGACAGAAACCACATGGAAGATGATYGAGCACGCTTTGTTTGTTGTTTTACTTGTGCAACTTTAGACAACTGAAGTTTTAGCATTAGCTTCAGCACCAAAAAGTGCCACAGGTGAATTTGTGTGGGGTTTATGTTGCAGGTGGAGGATGAGACGTTCCTCCACAACATTCCTTACATGGGCGACGAGGTGCTTGAGCAGGACGAGGCCTTCCTGGAGGAGCTCATAGACAACTATGATGGTGTCCARGGTGACAGAGGTTTGTGACAAAATCCTTTACATTCACATCCTCAATCTGYTTTACTTTACAGGTTGATTTCTACAACAGAATATATGTTTAAGTTCTAATCTGCAGGTCTTCTTGTGAATTTGGTTTGATGTATTTAAAAGGGGACAGTGCAGTTTAATAAAARATGTGGCATTTCATAAGTTAAAAAAGCCAGAATTAGCCAAAATGGTATTTTTCATTTGCAATCCCCTGGCCATGACATTTAAAAATCAATAAAATACAAGAATATAAATACAATAATACGCACAATAAGGTCAAGGCATTGGATTAGACACATTTCGATACATTAAGAACATGCTAAAATAAAAACAATACAACACAAATCTGCAGTACCACACATCAAATGCATTTTCTATTTAGTGTTCACAGGTGTATGAATCAACAAGTCATTTTTTCAGGTCTTTAGCCGAAACCTTATYGGTCAGATCAAAAAGAAAAAATAAGTAGGTCCTCTGGATGGTTCTTCTTTAGTGAGACGTTTCGTCTCTCCTCCAAGAGACTTCTTCAGCCTGATAAGTTTCAGGTGAACTCAGCCTTAAAAGCTCTGCCTCCACATGGTGGACAAAGAGGTCAGTCACATGCAAAAGAGGGCCATCGCCTAACAATAGGRTTGATTAGCTCTATTGTMCATAGAGGGTCATGTGCCCCATCACCTGACTTARTGGTTTGAATGCTGTGGTTCTTAGGTGTCGTGTCATGTGTATGTAGTGAATGCAGGCGGGGCTCAAATCCCCATTGTTTTTGTTTTTTCCCCCCTTTGTGTTGTCATCATTGGGGCCCTGATTCCCACCTTTTGCTCACAGGGGGCTGAGTCATACTTGCAATAACAGCATTGTAGGAGGAGGACAACTGGACACGCAGGCCTCCACCTCTGCTTATAGGTCAGAGGTCTGCAACCATGTAGCTCTGGGGCCTTATGCAGCTCTTTGGTCCTTCTGCAGTGGCTCTTTAAAGTTTTGAGCAACACAAATTCAAGATTTATTTTGTTTTTACACTCAAAAGAAAAGGCTAGCTTTAGCAGTTTTCCTGTCAATCTGTTTGCAAATATGTGATCGGTACTATTAATACAAGGAGCGAAACATGTTGATTAGATCATGCTAGAAACTTGTTGCCCTCTTCTATCCAATATCCAGCCTTACAGTATGACAATTCCCTCAAATCCATCTGGATTTTATTGAAATACCTTTAAGACAAGTTGCTGTGAAGAAATTGAAGAAAAAAACAGGGTTTTTATAATTCATTGTTTTCATTTTAATAAAATTTGGCAAAAACTACTTTTTTGTTGTTGTTGTTTACTAGAATATATTTTATTTTGCCTTCCTTCAACAAACTTGAAGTGGCCCACAGGCCACTAGCTGATAGTCACAATTTTAGCAGAGTTTTTCCAAAATGTTTTTATTGAAATTTTCAAAAAAAAAAAAAAGACATGGAGTGATCTGAACGAATTTTTTAAATATATGTTCTCATGTCTGAGAAAAGCAACAACAAAAATAAAAAATAAATAAAAAAAATTAAAATTTAAATAATGAAACAAAACAAAACAGAGCTTCTCAAAACTGGGGTAATTAAGCCATAGCAGGCATAATAAAGACATTTAGCTTGGAAAACTGCAGGTTCCAGCAAGACAATATTTCAACTAGTCCTCCAACAAGTCTGTGTTCTTGATAAAGTTAATGAAAGGACCCCAAATCCTCTCAAAAAGCTCTTGTTTGGATTTCCTAATGATTTTAGCCCATTTTATAGCTCTGGACACATTTTATTTGTGAGCCAGATGGCTTCAGTTTGTAAAAGTTGAAGACCCCTGTTATAGGTAGTTGTCTTATTAATGTTTCTTCATTCCTTAGAGATATTTAAGAAATAAGTTGCAACAGCTTTTAGGTTCTGACATGCTGATTGTGTCCCAGAGGGGGGCTTCATCAGCGACGAGATCTTCAAGGAGCTAGTGGACGCCTTGAGCCAGTACTCTGACCATGACGATGAAGATGAGGAGGAGTCTGCGGCGGTGGAGGCTGCGGGGAAGAAAGAGGAGGAGAGGATGATGAGGAGGAGCTCGGCTGAGGCTTCGGAGGAGAACAGAGCTGGAGCGTTAACCAGGAGGAAAAAGAGAAGCGCTGTTGAGGGTGAGCTTTTCTCGCCTGTGCCCCGTTTTGAATTCTGAGTCGTTCGGTGTGCGAACAAGGCGCGCACTGTTCTTCTTCTGACACTGCGCAGCTGCCACAAGGTCACAGCGCCACAGCAGCACTTCAGCTGGCATTGTTGCATTTAAAGCCGGCGTTGTTCCTCTGTGAGGTCACCGTGTTTGAGGGAGCTTGTTTGCCCGTGACACTGATATGACCCGACTCGAATTACAGAACTTAGCGACCTCTTGCGCTTGGATTTATGGGAAAGTAAACGGTGGAGAAACTTCGCCAACACAAAGTGATAGTGAAATGGATATGCAGCATCTTTCAGTGAGCACATCTCMAACTCATGCATAGTTTAGGGCTGGAGTCTTCAACCTTTTATATGCCAAAGAGCCAGGTTTACCATGTTTCTCATAAAATAAAGCAGCAAAGGTCACTTATTTTCACAGAAAGGTGTTTCCAGAACACTGACTGGCCTTGAGAGAAGAGAAAAACATGCTGTTGCAAAATGTTTGAAAGAGCATATTGCATAAGGCTWTATTTGTGAGTCTGTATCAAAACCTGATGTGTTGACAGATCTTGTGTATTTGTGTAACAATCCTTGTTCCGTGTCTCCAAAAGTGCGGGATTTGTCCGGCAGTAAGAGGATCCCCAGCGATAAGATTTTCACAGCCATCGCCTCAATGTTTCCCTACAAAGGCACCACYGAGGAGCTGAAAGAGAAGTAAGAAAAAAGTGCTGTCAGTTAAAAGATCTATGTGCACCGTGTTGATTAGGCTGTTGAGTTCACCATGGAGACCTAAGCAGTCAGGGGGGTGGGCGGGGGGAGTAATAATGGCGGCTTCCTCTCAGGCTCCCTGACTCAAAGGGGTTGCATCAGCATCTGAAAGAGCTCAGCAACTCTTTGCCCATCACCGCCAGACATTCCTCTAAGCACACGAATGCTGTTCCCTGAAGAAGTGACCTAACGACATGTTTTTTCTCTCCACGTCTTCCACAGGTACAAGGATCTACTGGAGCCTCCGGGCCCAGTGAAGCTGCCCCCCCTCTGCACCCCCAACCTAGACGGACCCTTTGCGAAGTCTGTGCAGAGAGAGCAGTCGCTGCACTCGTTCCACACGCTCTTCTGCAGACGCTGCTTCAAATACGACTGTTTCCTCCACCGTAATGACTTAATTTCTGTTTGTTTTCCTTCACAAAACGCATGCAAATTATTGCACAACTTGAAAGGTTTGATGTGGCGTCAGGGGTCTGCAGCTCCTCTGCAGAGGCTGGCCAAAAATAACATTACAATTATTAATGTTTAARGTTTATTTAAGTTGACAAAAAGAATAGAAAGTTGAGCAGTTTATTTGGGAAAAATGCTTTGAAAGCAAAAAAGATGTTTCTGTTGAGAAATTAGACATGTTAACATTCAATTCAATTTATTTYTATAGGGTCAAATCACAACAAACATTGTCTCAAGGCACTGTACATAAAACAATCTAAAGAAGTCAGCAGATTGGGTTGAATCCTCACTTCATCACAAGCTGCGTTTCCATTGACCATGAAAATGTGCAAATTAGAATTTTGAAAATAAATTTGCTCAACGGAAACATGTCGGTTTCGAAAAAAATTACGTTTTTCGACAAAATGTTTTTGCACTAGGATGACGTGGTATTTCGGACGTATCGAAATTAGTGTTTTTCGCAAAACTGCAATGGAAACAGTTTTTCCGAGTCACGTGATCAACAACCGGCAGTTTCTGCTGGCGAAAAAGACGATGACGAAGAAGATAACAGGAAGTAGATACAGTCGTAATATCACAGAAGTAGTATAAATTGTAAACTCACCGACTACAATTTCCCAAAAACACAGCATACGTAGCCGCTCCCAAGTAGGGACTTGTCTCTGGAAAGCCTCGATAAAAGACTCCGACGTCTCCTCTGATGATGAGCGCTAGTGTCATGGTAGCAACATGCTATGTGTTTACATCCATCGCCGCCATGTTTGTAATGACTTATCGTGAGAACAAACATATTCACGCGTGARTTTAATAGCATTTCTTACTTAATGGAAACACCGCAGTTGCGAAACTGTGTTTTTCGACATAAACAGAATATCGACAAAGTTTTGCACACATTTGCAYTGGAAACGCAGCTACAGTCTCCCACCCTGAGCAGCACATTGGCGACAGTGGGAAGGAAAAAAAACTTCCTTTCAACAGGAAGAAARCTTCAACAAAACCAGGCTCAGTCTGCCTCAACTGGTGGAAGAAACCTGGTAACATAGAGTAAACCCACAGTTTCTCATTATCACATGTAAATCAAAATAAAGGCGTAAGTAAAGCCAAACTAACTGGCTTTTGTACTTGAAGGATGCAGACCCCTGGTGAAGTTATTTGGATGTTCAAAATGTACATCTAGAATGTTCACCTGGTTGTAAGAATGTTTTTCTCTGTTGATGAAGCTTTCCATGCTACACCAAATGTTTACAAGCGGAAGAGCAAAGAGATCCGCATGGAGACCGAGCCGTGTGGTGACGACTGTTTCCTGTTACAGGTATGAGACCTGCAACCACACAACAAATCCATGCCTTCTGCCCGCTGCAGGACTTGTTATATTTTAACGTTTCTCATGTTTTTCCATCACTGGACCGTCTGTGAAGAAAGGAGCTAAAGAGTTCTTGGATCAGAATGCGTTACGGTCACATAGATCTCGGAGGCGACGGCGGCAGCAGCGCCCCACCAGTTCTGGTTGTGCCGGACCAACGGGGTCTGCTGAGGAGAGCAAGGAGGGCGACAGTGACCGTGAAACCACCTCCTCCTCAGGTAGGATACTGATCTCACAYCAGGTGGCTTTGTTCTGCTTAAATAAAAGATGTCTGCTACAGCAAACTGACACTACAAAAATGGCTATACTACATAACTGAGCCAATGTTAATTGTGAACTTACAGATACTGAGCTAGAATTTGATGTGGTAGCAGTGGGGAGTCGTTACAATATGAATGGCTGGAGTTCAGAGACCAAGATGTTCTGAGCATAACATCTTACAATACAGCATGAGCTCAGTTAATACTGTATTGTTTTGAGGSTTTGACCAGAWSGTTACAGCATTGCCATTTTCTCAATGTTAGATATTTYTAGTCAAAAACTTTGGCTTGAAAGGTGGTTATGATTAACATTCCTTAAAGGAAGGCTTTACATATTCATAAACTATATCTTTGAAGGAGACATGCTTGAATCCTCCTTTTTCACATTTAAATCATTCAGTAGATTGCTATATAAAATATAACTGTAATGTTTTGGTCGGAATTCTTCCTTATTGTAACTCCACAAGCCCCTCTTTCACCCCTTTTTCTGAGCTGTCTCTTAGATCAACTTGTTTTGAGGCGGTCCCTTTAAATCCAAAACAACTTGCTTCACACCCGGCCCCCCTCCAGCTTCCATTCCTGGTATTCCCGGTCCACTCTACCTTGATAGAAGGGTTTATGACTATATAGCTGCGCAGAAACTTTTTATTTACAAATGATATAAAAGATGTCAAAAAGAAAAGGGAAGACTTTTCCATCCAGCCTTACACGTTGGAGCCAGAGTCTGATCCAGAGCAGAGAAGAATAAAGATGACCAAAATGTAGTTGGTAACTCTACATTATTTAGCATTTCCGTTGCAAATATTGTGATGTAATAATTCAGAAAATGTCATAAAAAACAGAGAAACTGACCAGGTTGAAAAATATGACTGAAGATATCACAGCACCGGGAGAAACTGCATTAAACGTTTCCGCCTCCCACACACAAGTACACAACAAAATGCAGTTAACAGGTGAAAAAGTACATTATGCATGATATGTCCCCTTAGGATACTCTTTGAGTCAGTGAGTCAGTGAGTAGCATCATTCTTTATAACCTTTTTTTAACTCGTCCATTCTGCGGTGCTGTCTGGCCTAACTGGCTACATCTACTGAAAAGGAAAAAGATCTGGTTTCAAATGACAGCTTTCAAGTCATATCCTGCTTTTTCTTTGGGTTTTTCTTCTTACATCGACCCCCGAAGTCAGCTGTTTTCTTGCCAAACATAAAAAACCAAACATTATTTCTACATGATTCAGCCTCTGCATAAACACTGTCTTCCTGCGATTTTTTTCCCCGCCTCTTTCTCCATAATTTCTGCAGACATCTTTTTGTGGTGAGTAAGAAGGAGAAATAAGAAGAGAAACAAAATCCTGTGGCGTTTTAATTTTCCTCCTGTTCACAGCAGCCCTCTCAGGTTCCCATTAGTGCCGCGCTGAAAGCCGGTGTTGGAAATAACTGGTGATCAGCCAGTGACTCAGCAGACTTTCTCGCAAGTGTTGTGACYATGTGGAAAAAACCAGATTGGTGAGCAGATTATTAAAGAGCATAAAAAGCTGGAGCATGTGGCCACCGCAGTGCTCCATTCAGCCTGTTGCCAAGCAACATTCATCCTTCTGCCTTTGAAAGGAGCATTCATTTTAAAGGTTCATATTTGTCAAATGAAAAAACATTATTCCCACTGTTTATTTAAAAAAATATTTGTAGGTTTGTGCCACATTAGTACTTAAAAGTAGATAAGCTACAAAAACAGCCAATAACATTTTACAATCTTTTCATGTTTGTGTTTGTTTCTTTTTTTTTTCTTTTTGCTGCAAATCAGAGGGGAATTCGCGCTGCCAGACTCCCACCAAGCTGCGTCCAGGCGAGGAGGATGGGGAACAGCAGGCATGCTGTGTGGTCCAGTGGAGTGGGGCAGAAGAGTCGCTGTTCAGGGTTTTGCACGGCACATACTTCAACAACTTCTGCTCCATCGCTCGTCTCATCGGTACCAAGAACTGCAAACAGGTGAGGGTCAAAAAATCTCTGATCATCTGTTATCAGTCTTTAAAGGGATCCATGATTAGTTGTAACATTAGACTTTATTTGATAAACGTTTATTTTAACTGTAAAACAAAGACTGTAAAAATACTGTAGGCTGTTTTTTAGTTTTGTATTTTTTTTAAATATATTTTAACACTCAAAGCATTCTGGGTAAATGATGACATGGATAGGTCCTCGGTGCGAGGCTGCTAGCGAGCTATATCCACCCTGAAGGTTAAACTTGGACAATATCCGACGATCGGCTCTTTTAAATGAAACCAGAGAGCGTTGACAGAGAGGAGAAGGTAGAAATGACTCAGCCTGTAACTGAAAATGTGGATGGAGGACAACAGAGCTGCTTCTTGGAAGAACCTCAACTTAGCCTGTTAGCTTTTGCGCCGACGCTATATTGCCTTATATGTATTAGCTTGGCGCTAGCTCGACAAACTAACAAGCTAAACTGAGGTCCTCCATACATATTTTCATTTACAGGCTGAGTCAATTTTGTGTTCCCCTCTCTGTCATGTGGATGGAGGACCTCAGTGATGAGAGGAGAATGTGTAGCACTGAGCTAATACATAAAAATGGTGATGGCGTCGGGGCTAACGCTAAAGCTAACAGGCTAAGCTGAGGTTCTTCTTCCATGAAGCAGTTCTGTTGTCCTCCATCCATATTTTCAGTTACAGGCTGAGTCATTTCTACCTTCTCCTCTCTGTCAACGCTCTCTGGTTTCATTTAAAAGAGTCGATCATCAGATATTGTCCAAGATTAACCTTCAGGGTGGATATAGCTCMCTAGCAGCCTCYCACRGAGGACCTATCCACGTCATCATTTACCCAGAATGCTTTGTGTGTAAYTAAAATGGCCCCGTCCGTGTAATATCTTTTTAAACTTTTAGTTTAAAAATTATAAAAACTGAACAGACCACAGTATTGTTACAGTCTCTATTTTACAGTTAAAATATTTGTTTATTAAATAAAGTCTAATGTTACAACTAATCAGGGATCCCTTTAAGAACTTGAGTTTTTGAGTAAATACCCTATTATCTCTGTTATATATATCAGTAGTTCTGTTTTAATATGATCTCTGGTGTAGACCCCACTAAAATGACGCATGGTTGTTTTGAAACAAAGTCGGCAACATTTTTGTGTTGCTGATGTGATGTTTTGCTTGCGTCAGTGTATGTCGGGCTTGTGGTTTTATGGTGCAGATTATTGGGTCGGCTGAAGAGAAGACAGCATGTTGCAGCAGAAACAGTGACTCTTTACCAGACGCCACATTTCTCATAATTACTCATGATGCAAGTTCTCAGAAAGTCCCAGTGAGGGTGGTCCTGGAAAAGATGTTGTAACCTTACAGGGAACATATCATACAAAATCCACTTTTTTTAGCCGTTAAATGCATTTTGTGGTGGAGTCTTTAGGAGTGCAGAAAATTTGAACTTGTTCTGTTTTCTCTATTTTCAGTGACGCTTTCTGAACTATTGCGTCTCAGAATTTGCAACGGAATTGCCTAATCAGGTTTAAAGAGACAGCCTCAAAACGAGTTGATTTGAGACACACCTCAAAAAAGGGGTGAAAGAGGGGCTTGTGGAGTTACAATAGGGAGGAATTCAGACCAAAGCATTGCAGTTCCACTTTTTATAGACCCCAACTGAAGGATTTAAAGTGTAAAAGGGATTTAAAAGCATAATATTACATCACAAATCCTTTTATCTTCATTTAAAGTGGACATATGTAGACATATGTAAAAAAACACGGTCCTTTTTCAGACACATTATATTTCATTTCCATCATAGGTGGCTCTCTTTCTCTTAAAATTAGCTCTTTCAGAACTAGTAGTTCTGCAAATCACAGAAACTTGATCAGTTCTTATTGAAAATGCAAAAACCAGCTGCATCATTTTGTCTTTGACTTAAAGAAGAGGCCAAATCTGGGTTTTGGCAACCAGAGGTGTATTTGTGTGTGTGTATGTGTATATGTGTGTGTATGTGTATATGTGTGTGTATGTGTATGTGTGTGTAAACTGACACAGATTTGTGTTTGGCCTGCTCGCTGTAGTTTTGAAAGCAGAAGATGGAGTGAGGCAGGATGTTTTGTGACACTTTTCTTGTGGCTTACGGAGCTTGCCCCATTTTTGTATTTATTTATTTATTTATTTATTGCACAATTTTAATCGCAACAAGGACAACGCGGTTGCTATAAATGTGCAAGATGAAATCGTGGGAAATCGTTGCTTTTGTCATTTCTTATAGGTSTACGAGTTTGCCGTCAAAGAGGCTCTGATTCACCGCGTTCCTTTGGAAGATGGAGGCATCTCACCCCAGAAGAAGAAAAGAAAACACAGGCAAGATAAGTTTTAAGACCTACGTAAGTTARAAGACTTATAAAACTAAATACAACTATTGTGTTTGTTTGATTTTGCAGATTATGGGCAAAAATTCAGCTGAAGAAAGGTACATCATGTTTGCTTCTGCAGCATGATCGTAACACACAACTCCGCTTCCAGTGTTGTTCTGAGGGCTTTGTCCTGTGTTGCTCTAGATAACACATCCAATCAGGTGTACAACTATCAGCCATGTGACCACCCCGACCACCCCTGTGACAGCTCCTGTCCTTGTGTGATGACCCAGAATTTTTGTGAGAAGTTCTGCCAGTGTGAGCCTGAGTGTAAGTGGCGCCTTTATTTATTTATTTATTTCATCCATCATAAGTTCTACAAAAAAAAAGCTCTTTTCGTCACATGAAAAATAGCTACYTTGGTTTTGCTTTTCCAGGTAAAGAACATTTTTCTCTGAATGTTCTGATGTGTTCAGAAGAAAAGCCCTGTGCTGTGTCACAGGGGAGCAGAGCTGTAATATGTTTTTGCTGRGGTCAGACAAGAAATTGCCCTCTAGTGGGAATAGGTGGTTGTCTGTTTATGACAAAGCTGCATTTTAAAATGAGGTGTTTTTCTGCCTCAGAACTGACCCAAAACAGTTTTTTTTTTCTAAAATAGCCACATGGTGTAAGAACTCTTTCCTTTCATTTATTCATTTTCTTTATTATGCACTCTGGAGAGCCATCAATTCAACAATGGGGATAACATGAAGTAAACACTTCTCTCTTGTTTTGAAAGAACGATTGGTCTCATTTGTTCTCGCGTTGTGGTCCAGTCACCTTCTTTCCCCTCCTCCTCCTCATTATCCCCGCCTTTTCCCGTAGCAGAGGAGAACCAGCGCCAAACAGGAAGCAGCCCCCAATTCAACATGTGTGTGCTTTAAAGGCTTGGAGAGAAATCAAAGGGATGTCACGAGCTCTCTGGCTGACGTACAGCATCATCAGTATGAGTCAAACCGTTCCAGCTTAAAGAAGCTTAATGATACAGACTCACAAATTCATAGAGGCTATGAGTGGGGGGGTTTAAAAACATTACCGGGGGGGTCGGTCTGCACCCCTTGTTGTGGACAATTTTCTCTAAGTAGACACTTCTGAAAATAACTTTGACTCATTTTTTTACTGAAGCTTTTCAGTTCATCTGCCCGGAGAGTGTCATGTTGCACACTTCAGCATTTCTGCCAGCAGAGGTCTCTGACTGATTAATCTCTCATCACTTCTCCGTGTGCACTGTAGCTTTTAAAGTAGGAGCGCTCAATGAAGTCCTCATCTCGTTACACCCGGCGTAAAACCAAGCGTGCATGTCAGACAAAGATCATACCAGTAGTTAAACACGAGGGTGGTAGTGTGATGGTCTGGGGCTGCTTATTTGCCCTAATTAATAAAGAATTTCCAGTCATCGGTTTGTGACAATAAACTCAAAAACACTTGGTTTGGTTGTATTTCAGAACAATGATCTGAAATATTCCTTTACGTTGATGTAAGAGGTTTATCACCATTTATTATAAACAGTGTTGTTTTCGTTAACGATGACGAAACATTTTCGTTGACGCCCCCTTTTTTCATGACATAACGAGACGGTAACAAAATAAACACAGCTCTTTGATGACTAAGACGTGGCGAAACATGTGTGCGTTTTRGTTGACGAGACGAGACTGGACGAAAATATTAGTCGGTGGTCTGTCAATCATTTAGAATGTAGAGTGGAGGGAGGGACAGCAGCYCTGTTACACACACGTGTACACACAGCAGCACAGAACATTTCTCCTCTCATTCAGTAAAGAAGGAGGACAAACAGCCTGCGCCGCTTCGCAAAAAAAATTAAATGAAATAAATTTTAAAAAGTCTGTCCATCACCTGTAGCTTAACCAGGGAGTAACGTCTCCACCATTAAATCTGTCGCAGGTCCATTCTGAGCTCAGGAGCTGTTTGTTTACGTTCATGACGACAGTAAAACTTTTTTTTTTTTTTTTTGGCCGGGGGGTGAGTTAGCAACTGCGCATGTCAGTGCTTCTGTTCTGAATAAAAGCCTGGTGCATGTAAACACTCGTTTGCACAAGTTTAATAGT